TCCCTCCTCCCTCCCACCGCCGGCCATCATCGTTGGTAAATCCACGCACCCTCCCACCTGAGCACCGGTCACGTGCCCGTGTGCCAGGGATGCCACTGGCTGTTTGAAAAGCCCCGGCACACGCCCGAGGGCCCAGCGAGGGGGAGGAAGCTGCAGGTGAACAGCGGGCACGCCGGGCGCAGTGAGACCCTGCGGCCGGAAAGGGGGGACTGGCACTGGGGACTTCGCTGTCAGGGACAGCAGGTGGGGAGCGAAGGGGGGGCACCGATGGGAGGCCTCCAGCCAGACACAGCGAGGCGCAGGCGCACACACACTCACACCCACACGCACACACTCACATTCACACTCATACTCACACACACACACACTCTCACACACACACACACACACACTCACACTCTCAGACAACCACACCTTGGACTTTGCCAGTGGGGACGGGAAGGGTGGGAGGTGGTTTCGCGAGGCCTGGGGGTGCCCACAGAGCGTGGCCGTCGTCCACAGCACAGAGCAAGCGTCCCGGGTGTTGCCCACTCACGGCCCCTTTGGCACAGAGAGTGGAGGGGTCTTTGCTTCCACCTGACCCTGGAGTTGCCCGATTCACTCAAAGGGGCACCACCTGGTTTCCTTCCTCCCTCTCGGTGCACCGAAAACAAAGGCCCCTCAAATCCTGGGCTCCCAGAAACCCTTCCTGGGGTGCAGGGAAGGGGCCAAGTCGAGGTGAGCAGTAATGGGCACCGTGGAGAAGCTGACCATGGCCACCTACCCTGTGGGTGCCCGTCCCACCAGGTGGCCCCTTTCTCTTGGGCATTTGTCTGGCACTGTCCTTCAACTGGGGTGCACTGTCCCCGGCCACACTGGACGTGGCTCCCCAGAGCTGGCTGAGGGCCAGAGTCAGCTTCATCTCATCACTCACATGACAAACAGAATCCACATCGCGGGGGCGGAGCATCGCCACGCTGAACTTCCAACAGCCAGAGAGCGGGGACCAGCCTTTCCAAACAGGATGCATCGTCGGGAGAAGCCAGAGGGGTCTGCGCCCGCAAAGCGAGCAGAGCCTCCTTTGGACTAGAAGGTACAAGCAGGGAGCGAGCCAAGGGCTCATAGAGACAACCCCAGTGTGGGGCCCTCCGGGGACACCCTCACGGGTCAGGCCCCACCCCTCCCTGCCCCCCTCTCTGCGCCTGTCGGCCAGGGTGGGGTAGGACAGAGGAAACACAAGGCCAAAGACAGAACGGGAGCCCCAATGACCATGAGAACCCCCCCAACACTGAGAACGCCGGAGGGGACCGGGCTGTCCCGCTGCGGGTCGGACTCGGTTATTACGACTTGATTTTCAAAAGAGACGTTTAAGGGCAGGTGGGCTGAGGAGGGATGGACAAAAGGTGAACTTCCCCCTCCCTGGGAATCATGCGTCGAGAAGCAACCGGACTTGTGAGGTTATTTCATTTTCACTGCGTGCCTCCGACGGCTGGGCCCTGGCCCCTCGTCCCAGGTCCTTCCCTCCCTTGGGTGTCCCTAACCTGTAAGTGGTCCCTGAACCAGGGTGGCTATACCGGCAGGACACTCTGGCCTCTCTTTGTGGGCCCTGCGCCCATTTTCAAAGAGTGGGACAGAGGCCACGGCCACGAGTCCCAGGCCAGTGTCACGGAGGCCACGGCACTGCCACACGTGGCCCACACTGCTCTGCAAAGCAGGTCAGAGTTGAGGTCCAGGCGCTTGTCTGTGGGGACAAACCCCCTGTGGAGGGTCCAGCTTTCCCAGGAATGGGGGGGATTCCCTCATCCCACCTGCAAAGCTCCCAGGACACCTAGCAGTTGACGGTCCCCTGCTGACCCTGCAGAGAAACACCCCACACGCCGCCCATGCCACACAGCTGAGAGGTGACCTGCGGTCTCCAGGACCGGTGGCCACGGTGTGCGCGGGACAGGTGAATGCTCAGGAAGGCTACCACGACCCCGGCGCAGGCTGTGTGTCCTGGCCTGGCGGGACCGTGCCTGTTTGCACCGGGGCTACCAAGGCCCCCTGTTCTCTGAACCCTCTGCTGCTTCCACGACCACCCCATGCTCGCCGACGCCACCTGCGGGAGGCCCCTGCACTCAGGGCCCGGGGTCCGGGGCCTGGGGCTGGCGGGCAGGGCGAGAGCCGGCAAGGACAGGCTGTCCCTGTCCCTGGCTCCATGACTCAGGCGTGACCCCAGCTCCTGCCGCCCGTGTGTGAGAAAGGAGCCTTGTGTGGACCGGCCGTGTTTACGGTGCCGTGGCCGCTCCCCTGAGGCTCCCTGGCGGCTCGCAGCAGAGTCCTGGCCTTGCCTCCAGGGAAGGGAGACTCCGCGCATCTGGCAGCGGCACTCTCGGCTCTGCCTCTCATTTTCTCTCTCCCCCTCTCTCCCTCTTTTATTCTCTCTCCCTCTCTCTCCCTCTTTTATTCTCGCTCCCTCTCCTGGGCCCGGCTGCGGTGAGTCAGGCTGACTGTGTCTGGAACGGCCTGTCTGCCAAGGAGAAGTCAGCCCGAGAGCAGCTGGGG